ATAATTTCCTTTCAATAATCACTTTGAGCATACACATACACGGTAGCTTTGAAAGGTCTTTTTGACTGGTATCAGTCAGGGGAAAAAAATTAAAAATCAAACAGAAATGGTAACTCCAACCCCTTGATAGGATTTTTGCAATAGAAACATAAATTCACCTGCAACTAGCATGAGGCAGGTTGTGTCAGTTAAACATATTAAGGGATGGGGCTGTGAAACAAAGGCTGGTGGGATGTGCTAATGACATTCATACTGAATATTCAGATGATGAATCATCTAAAATCTCATTTAAATGTTTCTATCCTCATGACTTCAAGGAAAAACTTAAGAAATGAGGTCTCAGGCAGACTTAAACATTCTGATTGCCCAAATTTATCAAGAAATATTTTGAGGCTTTTTTTCCTCCTCAGATGTTTCTTTTGCTGATTGCTACTTTAAAACCGATAAGACATTTAAATAGCAAGAATGAATTCAGGTTCACAAAAAGGTGCTATTTCCATTATTTTATGTTTTCCATAAGAACCAGGTTCCTGGAGCCACGCAAACCCTGCAGAATTTCACCTTTAAAGGGGAAAGATGGAATGGCTAACTTTACAGCCTTATTCCTAAAACCCCCTAGAAATTATCACCTCCAAAGGAACTCAAGTGAAAATACGAACTAAAAACCAAACAAAGGATTTGCCTTCTAAGTTAATTTGATTTTGGAAGGTTAATTTTGACTGTAGGTGACATCAATATTTCAGTCAGTTCAGTGTCTACAATACATTCCCCAGCCAGTGCTACAGATTGGACAGCAAAATTGAATTATGCAGCTCATTCAAGATTTATTTCTGCCTCTTGCATTAACACCTAACATTGAAATCCTCATCAGCAGACATCACGGAGTGAGGAGGTTAAGGACAATTGTATTATTAATTTTAAATAAATTGAGCGTGTCTATCTTTTAAAGAGGTTCAAAGTATCAAGAAAAAAGAAGAGCAGAGGCAATGCCAGGAAGATGTATGTGCTCCTACAAAACTTGATGGAGGCTTGTGTTACCAGGTTGACTTTCCCTGTGCTCTGTAAGTGGCAGCAAAAGGGAACACATGACTCCTACTGACTGTTGAGCTCTTGATGCATCCCTGAAAAGCCCACTGGGAATTTTGCTTGTTCCCCTTTGCTGTCCACAAAGCAACCCGAAAAATGAAGCAGGGAACAGAGACAAGGAGACAGGCTGAGGCTTGGGAGACTTTTGGTTTTCCTTTAAGCAACCTGTTGGGATTTTGTCAGCATTACAATTGCTTTTTTTTCCAAGCACACTGGTGACAGCAAGAGCAGGAAATAAAGTCGAGTGGGTCCATGACTGCAAGGCTTCTGACTGAGGAGTCAAGAAACACAACTCAATCTGCTATGTCAGCTTAGACTCCTGCCTCATTTTTCTAGCTGCACAATGGGAAAACAGGGCTAATAGTAATCTTCATTACTACAACAAAGCACAAGCCTAAGAGAAGGGAAAAAAGGTAGTCAGGGGAATGACATGATACAGAAATGTGGTATCCAAAGAAGCTGGGATTTCAGGAAAACTTCCTCTCATTCACAGATCTAGCAACCCACCAAGGAATCAAAGATATTTTGCAGTTAAAACAGGAACGGATACATTCACTGACTGATATATTTTTTATGACAAGTGCTTCCTTTACAAAGCTTTTGCTTAAAAAATATGAAAAAAGGAATACACATCATCTGAATCCACTGTAAAAAATGATCCTATACTCTTATCTACTGATTTCTAACTGCATGAAAGGATAGATACACACTAACTTCTGTTCATTAACTTTAATCAAAAGAATTCTTGGCTGTTTCATTTAAGACGGATTTAATCAAGCAAGGTTGGCTCTAAAGTGAAATTACAGTCTTTAAACTGCGGAACAATTAATTTAGAGTTTTGCCCTGCAACAGGTCCTTGATGAAATACTAAATTAATAGATTGCAATAGGGTATTTTGGGTAGGTAATTTCAAACATGATTTAGGTGTTTTCTCTTAAGATGTATATACAAAATCCTTTGTGCAAACTTGCACATTATTTTTCCAAACCTCTATGGTAATGTAAGATGTAGCTCAAAAGACTTGATATTATACCAACAAACAGCAAAGTAAAAGTGTTTACATTGCAACTACGTATCATGTTGAAGATCAAAGAAAATTTCTCAGGTTCATCTCACACAAAAACAGTTCAAGTAATGTGCTTTCCTACAAACAAGGTATTGTGAAGTTTTTAGTTAGTAAGCATTTGTACCAGCTAGGACTGGTAAAGAACTTAATGGTTTACAGAAACTTTGCACTTACTGTGAATTAAAATCACAATCCTCATAATTTGGGCTCTCTGGATTCTTTTACTCCAAGTAATTTTATCTTCATTTTGATGAAATATGCCCACTTCTAAGCTCAGGCTGAAATAAGGTAACTCTACATCTCAATCTTAAACAAAGCAAACCCTACATCAGCCAGATCCCCTGATTCCAGCTGCCTTGCAAGGTACCACAAACCCCACTGCGTCCCTCAGCACTTCTTCCACTGTGGCAAGAATTCAAGAGGTAATGCATAGGAAAAACTAAACTCTTCCTAAACTGTCCCACAAAGGATATTTTGGACAAATCTAAATAGGCACAAGGAAAACTGCTGCTGCTTGGAGATGACCTGTGGGAAGCACTGGACTAGCCAAAGCTACTTCAATGCAAAAAGTTTAGGAGAAATGATATGAAGTCACAGCCTACAGGTCCACTAATGATCTTAGAATAGAGGGTGTTTGTTCAGAACACTTATCGGACTGGCATTTGTCAGGCTGTCATTTATTTTCAGTCAATAAAGTCAGTTCAGATGTTGGATAAGAAAATACATTTGTGTTGGTCTGGAAGCTGTGCTTTGCCTTTTCCAAAAATGCTGTATTAGCCATTAGCTCTTGACCAACCAAGTGGAACAACCAAATAAGCTTTTATACCCTCCTACAGCTATACCAACACATCACCTATGAGGCGTGAAAAAGATTGCAAAGGGTTTTTAGCAAATCAAGGTACAGGATCAGGTATGAAAGTCAACTCAATACAAGCCATGTTTCTGCTTGTTATCAAGGTTTAATGTCCTCATCTTCTACCTGATCAAATACCCACAGGAGAAATGAGTTATGGTTCAAAGGCCAAGAAGCCACGACCCTCACAGAGGCAATCCGTCTGTTTACTACTTTCCAGTTAGCCCACTGAAATGTGCTCAGTGTTCATACTGGATTGAAAGCCACGAGGCACTAACAGCCAGTATTTTAAACAGAACTGGTGCCTGTGCCCTCCTTCCACTACTGCAGTGTAACTTCCACAGCAGAACTCTGATGTTCTTTGAGCCTTCAGCGTATCACATGACTTTGGTAACCATCACTACTGAGGTGGTTCCTCTCACTCTTCACCAAGAAGGCTGCAGCTATGTGAGCTGAAACTCTCCAGCTGTTGGCAAAGCCAGAGCAAATCACTGCAAAATATGCAGTGAAATGAGAATAACATGACTAGAGGCCTAGATATAAGGGGGTTTTGATCAGCTGGTTGCACTGAATTCCTCATGGCAAGGTTGGCAACATTTGCTCGGCTCCTTGCCCTCCTTACCTAACTTTCCCCTAGCCATGGGGGATCTTAATTTTCTCAAGACCGAGTGATTTGTTAGGATTATTGAGTGATATGGCCAAGTGGCATATGGCAAAACATATTCATGATGAATAAGTGGTCATATATTATTATGCTTGCAAAATATATAGGCAATAAAGTTTTAATGACTTAATTTAGTTAAAATAGATACAATTTAATTTT